AACAAAGATACATTGCCTAGTTTTAACATCCAACTTTGACCTCTCATCCTTAGGAACATGCACAAAAGCTTAACAACCAATAACTTTAAGATGATCATAAGAAACATTCTTACCAGACCAAACTCTTTCAGGAACATCACCATTGAAAGCAACAGTAGGATGAATTGAATTCATGGTGTTACTTATGTTCAATTGATGAATATCAAGTTTAGTCCCTCTAAAGAATTGAATTCATGGTGTTACTTATGTTCAATTGACGAATATCAAGTTTAGTCCCTCTAATGAATTGAATTAACGGTGTTACTTATGTTCAATTGATGAAAATCAAGTTTAGTTCCTCTAAAAAATTGAATTCATGGTGTTACTTTTGTTCAATTGATGAATATTAAGTTTAGTCACTCTAAATTCTTTCTCAGGGATAAGAAGAAAGAGTTTGCTCCAAACTATGCTGCAGTTTATCCTTTTGGGGTTGATGTATTCTTATCACCGCGGAAAATTGATCTTATTCCCCATTTTGTAGAACTTCTAACCGTTGCGTAGTTCCTCATTAGTCATTGCGCATCCTTGTTGTAAATCTTCAGGTATAGAAAGATTTTTCTCATACTTGTGTATGTGTATATATCACCATTCTTTTGTTCAAGAAGCTGTGAAAGAATGTTGACTCTATTCCTTGGTCAAACTTTTGGAATTATAGATGTAGCGACATTTTGTCAATTAAATAAAATATCTTCAATCAACTTACATTCTACAAAAGTTGATAATGAAACAAGAAAACAATTTAAAAAAATAGAGGATGAATCTACCCGATTGGATTTGGTTAGACAATGTACTGTTGGTAAACAAGGACCGACTGTATCGTCAAATATTCAATATGATTCGAGAAGATCTAGTTCGTTCAAGTAATGGATTCTAACCAATTCAAATGATTTGATCAATCTAGAGATCATTTGGATTCCATTAGTAACCAGAATTTAGAAGCAGGTAAATATTTTTTCGGAGGATGTCTTGGTACTAATGATTGACAGTTTTCTTATTTTAGATATCGTTGTACCCACCCACAATCTTCCAAAATGAACATAATGGTGAAGGGATGAGTTTGTTTTCTACTTCAGGCTTTCAGAAGAACTTCCAGTCCATTTTCAAGAAAGTATCCAGGTATGGCGGTGAATTTCCCTTTAACATCAGTTGATTTTTTTTAAAAAAAATTACGTTCTCCTTAGTTAGGTTTATTATTGTTAGCATAACTAGTACTGTTTACTTAATGATTTTTTGATAAGGATATTATTGTAAATATAAGTTTAAAGAGTTATGTACTTGTAATTGCCTTATAAATAGCACACGTTCAGGCCCTTGCTATTCACGCAGGCCTTTATTTATTTTCTCCAATCTCTCTGAAACTTAAACTTCAACTTGGTATCAAGAGCACCATGGTTTCTCAAACTACTTCCGCTCAAACTTCTTCCTCAATTCAAAGTCGACTCCTATCACTCCTCTTTGGGTCTTCCAAATCCTTCTCCAACTATTTCAAGCATTAAAGGTTTTGTACCTATTGAATTGACATATCTTAATTATCTTACTTGGAAAAAAGGTTTTCTTACCGTTCTAAAAAGCCACAATCTTCTTCCCTTAGTTGATGGATCTATTCCATGCCCATCATCAACTCATGATGAGTATCGTTTGTGGATTCAATGCGGCACAATTACTCTAAGTTGGATTAATGCCACTCTCTCCCCTCCGGTTCTTGACTCACTTCTCAACTACGCTTGCGACACTTCCAAGAAGGCATGGGATATTCTTGCTTCCCTTTACCTAGATCAGGTTTCATCCTCATCAATTCATCTAAAATCAAAATTTCAGAATTTAAAAAAAGGTTCCCTGTCCATGGAGGATTATCTCCAAAAACTGCATTCACTTCCCTGTTCACTTAGAGCAGTTGGAAAACCGGTTACTGATGATGATTTAGTAACCCAAGCATTGCAAGGACTTCCACCTTCTTATCGTACTTTTGTCTCTGGTTTAAATGTGACAGGAACACTTCCGTCCTTTCTCGCTTTACGTCCATTGTTACTTACTGAAGAAACACATATTAATGCAACAGAAAATGAAGATTCTACATCTCACATTGCGTTAGTGGCTTCTGCTCAAGCACCACCACTTTTTCAACCTCCTTCTTCAAATTCATCTCATGCTAATCAATACCCAAGAAAATCCCATAATGGCTGTGGTCGTGGTCGATTAGGCCGAGGTAAAGGTCAAAACCAATACTCTTCTCACTCTATTTTTTCTCCTCATTGGGCTGGTTTTCAACCACACTTTCACCCTTCTTCTTCGGTTGATGGAATTCTTGGGCGACCTCGTTTCACCTCGACTAAACAATGTCAAATCTGCTTCCACTTTAACCATACTACTTTGGAGTGTAGGAATCGTTTCAATCATTCCTATGCTCCCAATTTACTACCAAAGTCATTTGCCGCTGTGAATTTGGAGGAGGTACAACCATTAGTATGGTATCCTGATTCTGGTGCTTCTGCACATATGACGAACAATCCATCCCTTTTATCCTCTACATCTCCTTACAGTGGTTTGTCACAGGTGATAATTGGCAATGGTAATCTTCTTTCTATTTTATCTACTAGCACTTCTTTTCTTCCGACATCTTCTAAGCCTCTTCGATTAAATAATGTTTTATATGTTCCTTCTCTTCAGAAGAATCTAATGTCCGTTCACCACTTGTGTGTCGACAATAATTATTTCATTCAATTCACTGAATCTAGTTTTTTTGTTAAGGACAAGAAGACCAAGCAAGTCTTGTTCCATTGTAAGAATAATGGCTCTCTCTATCCTGTTCGCTCGACCTCCCATCACTCCTGTCATGTTGCTCTCTCAAGTGCCGTCTCACCTTCATATCTTTGGCACCAACGTTTAGGCCATCCAGGGGAACGTTCTCTTGCAGCTTTAGTTCGTAGGGGTTTCATTAATTGTAATTCCTCTTCTGGAAATTCTGGTTGTAATGTTTGTCATATAGGAAAACAATCTAAGTTACAATTTCCTCTTTCTCCTAATATTGCACCTGCTCCTTTTCTTTTAATTCATTCAGATGTGTGGCAAGCTCCTTTTACTTCAAATTCTGGTTTTGGTTATTATATCTTATTTCTAGATGATCACACCAAGTACTCTTGGATTTATTTAATGCGAAACAAGTCCGAGACATTTGCTAAATTTAAAGAATTCTATAACATGGTCGCAAACATTTTTCATTCCTCTATTTCTTATTTTCAATCAAATGGTGGCAGCGAGTATAACAATTCTCATTTCCGTTCTTTTTTTAGCGAGCATGGAATTATTCATCGTTTCTCATGTCCATATACCTCTGCTCAAAATGGTCGTGCAGAAAGAAAGCATCGACATCTTAATAATCAGATACGTTGTCTTCTCTTTCAAGCTTCAATGCCTTATTCATTTTGGGCAGACGCTTCTCTATTTGGAGTTCATTTAATTGATATTACTCCTCTTCCTATTATTAATTTTACGTCACCTTATGAAAAATTGTATGGTAAACCACCTGATTACAATTTGCTTAAGGTCTTTTGGTGTTTATGTTTTCCTTATGTTGCACATTCTTTTGCTCACAAGTTTCTTCCACGATCTAAAGCTTGTTTATTTCTCGGTGTATCTCCGCAACATAAAGGATTCAAATATTTGGATCCATCCACTAATCAGATAATTTTGTCTCGTCATGTAAATTTTCAAGAATCCTTTTTCCCGTATAGTTCTATGTTTCCAGCGAATCCTAGTCCTCTTACAGTTCCTTCCTCACAAACTGCCCCTCCTATATTTTCTCCAGTTCAGTTCCCTGATATGTGTGCTTCACCAATTACTAACTTTGATTTTATCTCCACGTCTGATACAACTTCTTCCCCTTCTATCTCTATATCTCCTAACATGTCTATAACTTCTCCTAGGACTCTAAATTCCACATGTTCAAATAATCAGTTTTCTCAACCAGCTACCCACGTACTCATGTCATGGTTACTCGTTCGATGACCAGGTCACTAAAGCCACGTGTTTTTCCCTCACTCAATGTCTCTGTTTCCACTGCACCAGGTGGCTTAATGCAATGAGTGAAGAGTTTAATGCTCTCGTCCAAAATCATACATGGACATTAGTTCCTCCACCTCCCAATGTGAATATAGTAGGAAATAAATGGGTATATCGGATTAAGTATGGTCCTACTGGCTCTATAGACCGCTTCAAAGTTCGTTTGGTTGCACATGGGTTTTCTCAACTGCCAGGTTTAGATTATAGAGAAACTTTTGCTCATGTTATCAAGTTAAGCACTGTTCATGTAGTGTTATCTTTGGCTCTTCTTAATAATTGGTGTATGCATCAATTGGATGTATCTAATGCCTTTTTACATGGAGAGCTAAATGAAGATGTTTATATGCGGCAGCCCAAAGGTTTTGAACATTCTGATTATCCACAACATGTGTGTAAGCTAAGTCGTGCCATTTATGGGTTGAAACAATCGCCTAGAGTGTGGTTACTCGACTTGCAACTTATCTTTTGGACCTTGGTTTTAAGCAATCTACCTCCGATTACAGCATGCTCACTTTTTGGCAAGACAATTCTATTTTGATACTTCTTATTTATGTTGACGACATTGCTGTTTTTGGATCCTCACAACGGCTTGTTTATGATTTTATCGATTCCATGAAAGCTGAATTTGCAATGAAAGATCTTGGTTCCCTTCATTACTTTTTAGGTGTGGAGATAGTTTACAATACTGCTAGGGCTCTTCTCCTTCAACGAAAATATATATCAGACCTTTTTCATCGATTTGATTTGGCCGAAGTTAAGCCTGTCCAAACTCCTCTTTATAGTAAGCTTGATTGGCATTCTGTGGATACTCAACTTCTTGATGATCCTTCTCTGTATTGTAAAATGGTCGGCAGTCTTCAATATTTATCCTTCACACGATCGATATACAATATGCTGTAAATATGGCTTCCCAATTTCTGCATCAACCTCGTTTTATTCATCTTCAAGCCGTTAAGCGCATCTTCCGCTATCTTAAAGGCACTCCTGCTCATGGGTTGCAACTGGAAAAAAATATTTCCAACTCCTTAACTCTAATCTCAGACTCGGACTGGGCGGGATGTACAACAACTCGTCGCTCTACCTCTAGATTTTGCATTTTCCTTGGGAGTAATTTGATAACTTGGTCTATAAAGAAACAATCAACTGTTGCGCACTCAAGCACCGAAGCTGAATATCGTGCTCTGGCTGTTGCCACTGCCGATGCTATATGGATACAATTTCTTCTCCGTGACTTGGGTATTTATCTATCCACTCCTATTCTTGCCAAATGTGATAATATTGGCGCCATCCATCTTGCACATAATCCGGTCTTTCACTCAAGATCCAAACATGTTGCTTTGGACTATCATTTTATTCGTGAAAAGATTGCCCAAGGTGACCTTACAGTTTCTCATGTTCCCACCGCACAATAGCTTGCAGATGTCTTTACGAAAGGTGTCTCTGTTACAAAATTCAAGGAGTTTCAGGTCAATCTTCATGTTCGTTCCTCCACTTCAGATTGAGGGTTGGTGATAAGGATATTATTGTAAATATAAATTTAAAGAGTTATGTACTTGTAATTGCCTTATAAATAGCACACGTTCAGGCCCTTGCTATTCACGCAGGCCTTTATTTATTTTCTCCAATCTCTCTGAAACTTAAACTTCAACTTTGTGGTTCTGAATAAGTTGCTGACTAACTATTATTTTTTACTTGATATTTGCAAGAGAGATGTTAATTGGTGATGATAAAAATGTACCCTTCAGAGACAGATTAAAATTCTTGGGTCGAGTAGTAAACCTAGAGGAACTTCATTTAAGTGCAGTTGAGAAGAATGCTTACAATGAAAAGCCTGTGCTGTCACGTCCTCAACATGAATTTTATCTGGTAAAGTTAATCTGACAATATTTTTGGTGGAGAACATTTGTTTTCTTCGACGCTCTCTGGATATACGTTAATACTGAGTCCACAAGTAAATTTCTCAAATGGATATCAAACTTGCTATTTTTAATACAAAATTCACTAAACTTGTTTTTGTCACTTGAAATTTTTTGAACTTACGGGTGGTTAACACATATCCTTGAAGTTCATACTGACACCTTTTGTTGCAGGGGGGAAACAATTTTGAGATTGATTTGGACATTTATAGATGGAATCTTTTAAAGGCAGATTACAGAACCTCACCGTTGATTTTGGTCTGACAATTCAGGTAGCCATATATTAGAGATTACAAGGAGGGTTCAGCTTTCTCTCACAGACGGATATAACATTTTTTGTAAATTTGGTGCAAGGAAATAAGGAGAAAATATGTTGTGCTGTATTAGATTGAAAGAGATAGACTAAACCAATTATCAGCAGTTAGGCGGCTTCTGAATAAACTACACAAAAAGTACAAGGCTCAACTAGGTGAACCTTATTTTTGTCATAATAATATCATAATTTGCACCAGTGGACAATTCTTTTTCGGTCATAGTTTATTCTGGTTTAAGTGCATTGGTATAAAACAAACTGTCAAGAAAGTGAGCATTTACTTGGATGAATTTCTGATATGGAAGAGTCGAGTTGGATTTGTGATATCTTCATAACCAAGTGTAAGGTGCATACAGTTCAACATCTGTAAATCAGTTGTTGCAAGTACTATAATGCGAAGAGGCTCACAGTTGACAAAGATCACTTTTCAATGTGGGTTCTACAAGTGTAATTGTGGATCTATCGATTAAGATGGAAGAATTTACATCATATAGCAGATCTTGATTGTATCCGTTACAGACAAAACACACATACCTTTGTGTGCCTTAACCAGGTGGAATCATTAAAACCGTGATTAGAGTTTTGAGATTTGGAAGTGTTAATGCTGAATGTTGCAGTTACACTCATTCTTGAAAGGGCTAACATTGCTTTGTCTGTGACAAAAAGGAAAGTGAAAACCTCATATGGTAACTATTAGAACAAAAGTCAAGGAAACTGAAAACTGGCTAAGCAAATTAAGGATTCATCTTGACATTATTCCAACTAGAATTAAAATCGCAACACCACGTATATCAAGAATCAATAATGGAGGTAGACATCTAGAAATGGTGGAAAATCCATTAGCATTTGCTTGTCGCGAGCCAAGATAGTGTCCACAAATGAATCCATTGCAGGGCAACAAGTGGGTTGTTCAACAGGTTGCATTTCCTCAACTTGGTTTGACAAAAATGTCCCCTGTGTTTGGTGTGTACCTGAGGATGTTAAAGGGTCTCCCAGTATAAAGTCATTCCAAGTAGACGTAGATGTTGACGAAGAAGATGGAAGCTGAGATTGCAGAGAAGAGAAAGAAGAATTTGTTGATGAGACTTCACTAAAACTAAGCGTTTGAAGAGTTTCCCTTGTGTAGATTTGAGTGGAGTAGTTTTGTTGCAAGTGGTGATGTGGAGTACTAGTTTCATTTGAGAAGATAAAGAGTTGGTTATTTTGATTAGTATTGTTGTAGAATTGGATATGATTAGTTGCATTTTGAATTGGGAGACCACTAATTTTTCCATACTCAGCAAAGACCTGAGCAAATGGTTTATGTGTTACAGGATCAATTCCCATGTTGACTAGCTTTTTCTTGAGCTTTGTATTCCAGTAATTTTTGACATCATTGTCTGTTCTTCCAGGTAATTGCTTTGCTATTAAAGACCACCTTAAACATACAAAATAAATCAATATATAATGTATATATGTTGAAAGAAGAAGAATGTGGTAGTAAAAATTAGAAAACTAACCTGCTACCTATGGTTTTGTGAAGCTCAAGGATGCAGTCTTCTTCTTGAGGTGTGAAGTTGTCATGCTTAAGATCAGGACGCAGATAATTGGTCCATCTCAGCCTACAGCTTTTTCCACACCTATTCAGACCTGCACATGAATGATGTTAGAATTGCAATTTTGAGATAGTTGATTAGTATTAGCTACTGATATATACCTGCTTTTTGAGGGACCAAGGTCCAGTTGCCAATTCCATGAGTGGCTACATAAGCAAGGATTTTTGCATCTTCCTCAGCAGTCCAAGGCCCTCTTTTCACATTTGCTTTGTCACAACAAGGAGGACGCCCCATTTCATAAACACAAGACGGATGTAATGAATGCACTTTGGACATGCCACAATATTATAGGCATCAAATGCATGTAATTTGGCTCCCTTTTAGCAACAATTGCATGATCTCCTCATCAACAAAACTTTTTATGCATGCTTCTCTCTCTCTCTTCATGCTCTTACTTACACCACTTTTTTCAATGTCTCTAAATTCATTTTTTTAGCAACTCCTTAATTTCGACATTTCACATTACATGCTGAACACCACAAAGTTTAATAATATTTTAGTACAATTCACATATATTTAATTTAACAACTACTCCCTCCGTTTCACAAAGAATGACCTCCTTTCCTTTTTAGTCAGTTTCAAAAAGAATGACCTCTTTCCTTTTTTGGTAACATTTTACTTTTTGCTTTCCACGTGGCATGTTTAAGACCACAAGATTAAGGACAATTTTGTACATTTGACATAACTTTAATTTAGGACCACAAGATTCAAAAGTCTTCTTTATTTACTTAAACTCCGTGCCAAGTCAAACCAGGTCATTCTTTGTGAAACGGAGGGAGTACAAGATTCAAAAGTCCTCTACTTTCTTAAATTTTGTGCCAAATCAAAATAGAATAAATAAATTTACTTGCCCCCTTCCTTGGTGATTATCGGCTCATGCATCCACCGCTTCTTATGTTTAAATTCTATCTTTGTCTTTACAGGCAATCTTTTGTGTGCTATTCCTTATGCTCTAAAAAAGAATCTCCACTTGGATTCATATCAAGTCTCGAGTTCTTGGTTAGTATTCTTTGTATATGAAGGTCGAATGAGAGCTTTTGATATCAATTCAAATTGTTGAAACGGAGGGAGTATAATTTAAGAAGTATAACTAGTTTAGTTTTAAAAATATAAAGGTTGAAAGTATGAAGTATAAGTTTTGACTTTTGTCCATGCTAAAAAAAATAGAACTGTATAAGGGTTAACATAAGTTTTTTTTAGGAATCACGTTGAAGCAATATCCTTTGGTCATCTTTGTTACGATCCAGACCGTCATGAGTGACACCAACACTAAATCACATGGTGAGAGAATTAACTACCAACCCAAATCTTAACCCAATACACCATTGGTTACACCAAGTCATGAAATAAAACTAAGAAAAACAGTTTAGAAATAACTAAAGAATTGAGTCTCCATAAATTCAATCAATAACAAAAAAAATTGTGGAAATAAAAATCCCTAAGACTAAAAGTTATCGTACCAAACTCTAAGTAATCGATAGTGGGGATGCAACCTCGAAACTTAGAAAAATATGAAGTAATAGTCTAGTGTCTTTGCCAGAAAAGATGGACAAGAAAAGATAGAAGAACTCATGACAACATGGAAGAGTAGCTTACCCTTGGATTTGAAGTCACACTTCTTTCAACTGATGTCTTGTATCAACAATCTGAATATGCCCTATACTCAATAAGGAAAGACCAAGTGCAGTATCACTACACTACCATAGTGTACTCGCAAGATCACACAGCTAGTTCCAAACTATGAATGTAAACAGACGACTACAACATAGTAAATGCAGATCAACATATATAACAACAATCACGAATACATAGACTCTCAATCACAATATCATGAATCAATCAATACCAGGAGAATGATCACAATTTCAAGTACCCCGTCCTCTCATGGAACCACAAACACACATACCCGGTCCTCTCATGAAATCCACACATAAACTGTTAGAGTATCGGCATGGTACATGAGCCAATCATAGATAGTTTTCATACCAGACATGGTACCCAAGACAACCAGAGTTAATTTTTATACCAAGCATGTTACATGAGCAAGCCATTAGTATTCATGTATCTATGTGATACCCGAGCTTTTCACCAATCACAAACAATCATGCACAATCACAATCTGAATGAACAATAACCCTTGAAAATCACAAGTCACGTAAACATGTTCATTGCATGAGATTATTAACATGATGTTATTTCATATGCTTCCCTATATTTTCCTCCAACATGCATTGCACAATGATCCTATAAAGCAGTAGACATGCAGACATACATAAATTGAAAAATATACGACTATCACCTACCTCGAATCAAGACTCTTGCAAACTCTAAAATAACCGAAACTTTCCCCTTATTAAATACCTTGGCTTGTTCTTGGTCTAAAACAATAAATAACATAACAATCAATCACAAATGACCTAATAATACTCGGATTATAACCAAAGTCTAACCGCAGGCAAATTCATGATCCTTCTACCCAACTAAGGGGTTTTTTCCACCATTAAATCAAGTCACCCCCCCCCTCTCCCCAAGATAAATATCCTACATTCTAAAGCTTAAAAATAAATTTTCAAGGCAGGAGAGTAATGAACTTACATTTACCAACGAATTTGGTGGAAAAATTAGTGCAACAACCCTAAATAGCCCCACTCAAATCCAAGAACATAAATGTAGAAAATAGGAGGTTTTAATACCTTTGCAGCATAAATCCCGACTTATCTAGCTATAGCGGTCCGACCGGCTACAACGACTATCACCCTGTTATAGTGCCTATACATCCCCGCTATAGCGTTCGCCCCCCCTGTAGAGGATTGCACGAAGTACTTCTGCTAGGAAACCACTGAAAAATCCTCTCTTTACAACATACCTTCTTTCCTTGACGTCCCAAACTATCCCCTTCACGACAAGATCGATTTCAGGAGTTTTACTCACCCATATTCGATTCCATAAGGACCTACAGGTTCCTTAATATCATTAGTAGATTAATTTTTGGTTTAAAAAATTGCATCCTTCCCTGTTTGCATGTTTGATCCAGGTGGGACATAAGTATTACTAGCTCCTCAGGATCGTCTTTAAGTATAGGTTTCAGTCTATTCAGTAAAATAAAGGACATATTCAGAGGTAACATCTCAAAATGTTACTTAATTTTAAAAAATTATTTCATAAAGTCATTAAATTTTATGTTTTATCAATAAAATCATTTAACTTAGAAATTTGTATCAATTAAATGAATCAACTATTTGACATGACAATCTTTGGGTTCTTTAAACTAAGAATTGCATTGAAATATGATTAAATGAACTTCTGCTCATACAATATTAGTATTTAAATGGCATAATACATAAACATGACCTTTAACTTGATGTCAGCTTGCAACTATGACCTTTAACTTTGGATGTGCACAAGTAGACACTTAAACTTGTATAAAATTGAACAAATGGACACATTCGTCCTACATGACACCCTACATGGAATTTTTGTGTCCTACGTGGCATCTTACGTGTATTATGCCATGTAGGACATGTGTCACTTGTTCAATTTTATACAAGTTTAAGTGTCTACTTGTGCACATCCAAAGTTAAAGGTCATAGTTGCAAGCTGACATCAAGTTAAAGGTCATGTTTATGTATTATGCCATTTAAATACTAATATTGTATGAGCAGAAGTTCATTTAATCATATTTCAATGCAATTCTTAGTTTAAAGAACCCAAAGATTGTCATGTCAAATAGTTGATTCATTTAATTGATACAAATTTCTAAGTTAAATGATTTTATTGATAAAACATAAAATTTAATGACTTTTATTTAAATTGTATCATAGATACAACGTTAATATATAGGAGTATAAATAAATTTCACCTTCTATTTTGTTGGATATATAAGTAGAAAAATAAAGAGGAAAGTGGTGACGATCGATCACTGATTTTTGATGTTATTAGCACTAATTAATTTGTCAGCTTTTAGTTAGCAACAGAACATGCTATTAGCACGTAGTTTTCGTCAGTAAAAGGATAAGATTAAAGGATAAACCGGTAGACAAAATCTACTTGATTATAAAAAAAATTAATATTTCCCTAAGTCATATTTTTTCTTTGTTATACTCTTTCAACATATTTGCTTTTTCTATTCAATTTTAGGATCATATTTGCTCTTGTACTCTCAAAAAGGGTCATATTTACTTCTACAATGTTAAGTCTTCATGTCATCAATATATTTTCCCTTATACCCTAAAAATTATCATATTTGTTCTTGTACTCTAAAAAAGGGTCATAGTTACCCTATGACATTAAATCCGCCTTTCCACCTTAATTTTCTCATGTGATTCACCGGACATATTTTTTCTCAGTTAAATCTATTAGCCCATTTATTGAGAAAAATATATTACTCCCTCTATCCAACAATAGTTGTCCACTATTGACTTGGCATACCTCTTAAAAAATAATAAATAATAGGGGTAATATTACTATATTATCCTTTGACTTTATTAAATTTAATGTTTTAAAAATGTGTTAGATGATAAATAAGTATTTAATAGTAAGGGTAAAATAGACACAAAAGTAAATTATCTCCTGATTTTCTTAATTGGACAAGTATTGTTGACAATTATTTATAGTATAGTGGACAACTATTGTTGGATAAAGGGAGTAGGTCATTTACTAAATAAGTTATTAGCCCATTTTTATTAAATAAGTTAGTAAATTAATTGAGAAAAAAAATGCCCCAAAGGATCGACATGGGAAAATTAAGGTTAAATATGTGGATTTAATGTAACAGAAATAAATATACTTCCCCCGTCTCAATTTATGTGAGTTTGATTTGACGTGGAATTTAAGAAAGAAAGAAAGACTTCAGAAACTTGTGGTGTAAAATAAATCATAGATGTTTGTGAGTTATAAATAATTTCATTAAAGGTAAAATGAACATTTTAAAGTTAAATTTTTATTAAATATAGAAATGTATAATTTTTATTGGATTGACTAAAAAAGTTAGTCATATAAATTGTGACAGAGAGTATAATTTTTTTCCGAGTACAAGAGCAATATGATCCAAGAGTTAGATGAAGAGGACAATAATCACGACCCAAAGTATACCCTAGGCGTAACATGATGTATAGAACCCTTAGCTTTCATAGTTGTAAATCATCAAAATATCATTAGAATATGACATAATTAGGCATTAAGGACACTAATTGTTAAACTAAATATGCCTCAAATGAGTGTAAATCTATCACTTA